AACACACACACAGACACACACGAACACACACACACACACGCAAACAAATACCCTCTTGTGTGTATTTGTTTCTGTTCTTAATCATGTTTATATGCATGTATATGATATACCACATGCCATTTTCTTGGAAGTAGTAAATTCGTCAAACATTTTCTACTGTAATGGATCTTTCCTCTCTTCGTTAAAACGCAGCGTCATCAGCCTTGGTTAATCCGGGAATTTCCTCTTGACTTACTTTCTGATGAGATTTGTTCACAAAAGGAGAAAGGGAAGACCTTGTAGAGAAGGAATAAGAGATGGTGTATATATAGGCTTCCCAGCTGCAGACATGGCACCGACGTCTATCATGAAGCTCCTGGTGAGTAGTGCCAAGCTCACAAGTGTTTCGTGTTGTTAGATATGTTCGTGAGTTATAATGTTTTCCAGTATGATAACATGTGCAATACCTAAAAGAACATTACTTTTCTCGTAGGTATTAGCACTCGTGGCTACTGCGTCCGCTGCTCCTCAGGGGTACAACCTGGGCACGCCCTCGGGACCTTCCTTTGAGTCTGGGAGCTGTGGGGATGGACAGGTGCGGCACGTGGACGGAAGCTGCGTCACACCGCAGGTGAACAGCCGTGTGTTCCTGTACGATGTGCCAGCAAACGAAGGTGCCGTCAATCGGCCAGACTACATTCCGGAGCCTAAAGTGGAGCGCAATATCATTTTTGTAAGACTGCCTGAAGGTGCAGATGGACCAGAACCCATCGTCGTACCACCGCCACAACAGCAACACGTGGTGTATGTCCTGAACAAGCAGTCTGAACAAGACCAGCGAGTGATCGAGGTTCCTGCACCACCGCCATCCAACCCTGAAGTGTTCTTCGTGAACTACGCAGAAGGAGAGAACCCGACTCTTCCCAGCGGAGTAGACCTCCAGACGGCGCTGAGTTCAGCTTCCCAGGGCGGCGGTCAAGTTGTTGGAGGTGGTGGAGTTGGAGGAGGAATCGGAGGCGGAATTGGAGGTGGAATCGGAGGCGGAATTGGAGGTGGTATCGGAGGCGGAATTGGGGGTGGTATTGGAGGAGGCATCGGTGGCGGTATCGGAGGTGGAATTGGGGGTGGTATCGGTGGCGGAATTGGAGGTGGTATCGGAGGCGGAATTGGAGGTGGTATCGGAGGCGGAATTGGAGGTATCGGAGGCGGGTGGAGGTGGTATCGGAGGCGGAATTGGAGGCGGTATCGGAGGTGGAAGTGGAGGAGGCATCGGTGGTGGTATCGGAGACGGTACTTATTCCCCCCCTTCTAACCTGTACGGAACACCTTGAAATCACCCCTGTGCCATTTATTTATTAGTGTTATGTAGACTGCTATTGTATTTCATCCCTCTCCTTTTCGCCCTTCGTCTTTCCTTCCATATCTTTCTCTCTCTCCCTTCATCCCCCTGTTTCTCTCTCGCTCTCCCGGTTGCTGTTGCTCTCTTTAAACACACATTATTTATATTTGCTTACAAAATATTGACCCAGATATCTAAGAAGTATACTTCCATGAAAAGCATTTATTGTGAATAAGGAAATAAATGAATTACAACGACAATGAAGGATTTCAATACTCCCATATGCACTTCTTCCGGATATATATTATGGCATTTGACAATAACTTTATGAGTTTGTGGACTGTCTATTCCCTGTATGGCAAATTGATACTAAAGCTTTCTATGACTAGCCTGTAAATATCACAAATGAAGGATTTAGAATGAAGGCTCATTATATATAGGATATTTCTGTGTGTTAAGAATAAAAATGTAGTATCACGTTATGAATTTTTATATTTTTTATATCTATATCTATATCCATTTATCATATTTCTATATATCGGTGTATGTGTATGTGAAAGAGATAGATAGATAGATAGAGAGAGAAATGAGTATGTATGAGTTCATGTACATGCGTTGGTGGGTGTGTTTGTGTTTATTCGTATCTATCATTTCGGATACGTTGATCTCAGACTAATATGCATCTATGCGTATCTTCTCAGCTTTATCCCATTTCTCTATGGGGTCGCCCTTTTGTATGAACCGCTCTATTACGGCTCATTCCAGATATTGGTTTTTGGCACATGTTTTTGCAGTCGGAGGCTCTTCCTGACACTAATCCTCTCTATTCATCCGCGCTTGGGAAATCCATTGACCTGCATATCGGGTCAGCCAGCCCTTGAACTAACGATATCTTCCAGTTATGGTATTCTCTGGCAATATATGTATTTATATATTGTTTTTTGTTTTTCTTTTTTTTCCATTCAATTTATGATTATGTAGTATTAGATGTTTTGATCACTGGGTAGTTAGTTTTCTACCAGTAATTAGGGAAAGATAATTCTTTGGAAAAAAGTGTTTGCCTTTTTCTGTTGTGTACATATTTTCGTAGTACTTTTATTTATTTTTTTTTCATCATTTTGATTGGTGCTAGTTTAACCATTGTTACTTCCATTACCTACAACTGATGCTACTCTTGCTACG